TTTTTTTTTTTTTTTTTTTTTTTTTTTTTTTTTTTTTTTTTTTTTTTTTTTTTTTTTTTTTTTTGTTTACGTTACTTGTACTAGTAATGATTATGTCATTTGAGTTATATTTGTTTATTAAATATTTAATTGTCTGTCTAAAAAATATCATTTAATTGAAAAATGAGATATTATAATTTTTACATGTTGTGACAACAATATTATGTAATACTAAAATTAAGGTATTAATTATAAAAGAAAAGTCAAAATTTTAAAAATAGATTAATTTGATATTAACACAATTCATTCCGGAGCGAATTTTTAAAGTTGGTATCTATTTGATTTCTAAACTATATAACAAATCTCAAAATTTCATTTTTTTTCGTGTATATTTTATTAAATTTTAAAAAGAAATGTATAATAGATCATTCATAACAGGTCCATCAGTATCTGATATTGTCGAGTTTAGCCCATTACGCATTGCCCTTATTCCTATGAGAAGAGGTTTCCACTCCTTTGGGATCATTGCTTTGAGGTTTAGTTCTTGCTAGCACATCGTCCAATATCTAGCTCTAATATCATATGTAGCAACCCAAGCCCACTAATATCAGATATTTTCTACTTTGGTTAGTTAATAGTAGATATTTTTTATTTTTACCTTTACATATCATCTTCAACCTCATAATTTTAAAACGCTTCTACATAGAGAAACTTCTATCCATAAAACTAATATTTCACGTCTCACAATAGAAGTAAATTGATTTATTTAAAAAAAAATTAAAGTTTACTAATTAACTATATTAAAAAGTGTGTATCATCATAGATCTGAGTTACCAACATTTTGTTTCAATGATTTTGAATTTGTCGAAACTCTTCGAACGCAAATTGAGATTAAAAACAATTGTTCTTGTTTAAAATCTTGTTGTAGAGGTAACTTATTTTCTTCCATAGAACCTTCAATCAAAAGGAAATGAAAAAGTTATGCAACCCGACAAACGTGAAGAAGAAACTACACATTGAAATAGCACAATAATATCTCTGTATCTCTCGCTCTCTCATATATACACACACAACGAATCGATTCTCTATAGCAATCTCAAACCGCAGAATCAGTGACGAAAATTTGCAGAAAATCGAATTTGCGATTGTTCTTGTTCCTTGAAGCTTCAAAATCAGAGAATCGAAACAATTTAACAACGAGTTAGTGTGTGTGCGCGATTGTTATATCATCATGTTCATACCATCGCATTTGCATCGGAGATTCCGATTTGATCCTGCGACGACTTGTTGAAGAACTCGATGCAATCGGCAATAGCTTCGTTGTAATGCGAGTAAGACGAATAATTCGAACTGCAGGAAGTCTTCGGCGGCTCGAATTTCTCCAGATTTCTCTGCTTCGACGCCATTATTGACGATGACGGCGACGACGACGAACCTCGAGAAGGAAAATAAAACATGAATCGCATCAGAATCCGGCGGATCCGGCTGAGAAATCTCACCGGAGAGATGCTTACGCCGGGGCTTCCTCCTCTGTAATCCTCTTGATCATCCTCCACGTTAATGATGAAGCTGTTTGCTCCGTTTGATTTTGGCCTGATCGAAACGGCTGGATTCTTCTCCATGTGAGAATTGTGACTCGCGCTAGAGAATTGTTTGGCTATGAGGATATGGTGTGCGGGATAAGGATGAGTTGGTTCTTATTTTTCGTGGATAGCTTGTTCTGGTGTTTGGAGAGAGCACGAAGAGTTTATAGAGGACTTCGGAAGTCGCCGCCGAAGCATCCATGTGAGGCAATGATTTTTCTCTAATCAATTTCTAATTTGTTTATATAAGATAACATTTTAAATTTTTTAAGGATTTTTTTTTTTTTTTTTTTTAAATCGTGAGACTGATGACATACATAACAAACTTGGGTTGTTTCAAATGGTATCAAAGACAAACGCGTGGCGCTATGCTAGTGAGAACGTTGGGCCTTGAAAGAAGGTGGATTATGAGATCTCAAATCGATTAGAGAGAGGAACAAAATATTACTTAAGAGGTGTGAAAATCTCTCCCTAACAAATGCATTTTAAAATCGTGAGACTGACGGCGATACATAATGAGCCAAAGTGGACAATAACTATTAGCGGCAGGCTTGACGTGTTAATTTTCATTCATAAAATGAATTTTTTTTTCCTTTCTAAAACCATAAACCAAACATATTCTCAAAAGGAATAATAATAATAATAATAATAAAATCTTGAAGTTAGGTTGGGCTATTGAGTAGTTGAAGTAAAGACGTTGTTATGAAATAATAATTTATGGAGTTTTGGACCTTTTGAAGTGATTGTGTCGAGTACTCATTTTTGCCCCCTTATATTCTTCCTAATCGAAGACTGCCACCTCTTTGCCTCATATTAATCATAGCAACTGAGCTCACTATTAACCGGGATAGAAGAAAATAAAATTTAAATTAAATTAAAAATATATACTTTTTTCCTATATTAATATTTACTACGTAAAATTTGAACCGATCCTTTTAATATTTTAAAAAGTATCGGTGAATGTATGTCTCATCAATTATTTATTTTTTTAATATTAATTTTGAAAGTTACCAATATTTTTTAAATGTCGTACTAGGTACTAGGTAAGTGTATTTTAAATTTAAAATATTTTTAAATACTTTTAAAAATTTTAAATTCTCCATATTTATGGAATAAATTATTAACTGTTTTTATTTTTTTAACTAACTATAATAATGTTTTCTAAACTTTTTTTTAGAGTTTTTTTTTTTTTTTTTAATTTAAAATTTTGAAGTTATAAAGGTGTTTTTATTAATTTGGTATTAGGTTTTTAAATTTAGAACTATAAAAGAATTCAAAGCTTCAAAATTGCCCTAATTTAGTCGGCCCACAGGAAGTGTCGACGGCTTGAAGGTTATCGCGAACCCGTCCAACTTAAATTGGGCTTCGATTCAGTCGAGCCCACTAACGACACCAACGGTTAAACCCTCTGGTTGGCGGGTTTTGTGTTCAGTTGTCCTCCTCCAACCGCCACTCTCTTCACAAGCCCTAAAATTCCCACGTGGGAGGGTTGCAGCGTATTGCTTGACATCAATGATGGCGACCGCCTGGTTTCGCTCGATTCTCGCCCGCCTCGTACAATAATGTGTTCACCCCTTGCTGACCTTGCCTCATCCCAAGATGAACCTTTCAAGCCTAATGGTCAACACGAAGAAGTCGTAAGTCAAACCTTTTTGAGGGACTCTAGCCTCACTGACATAAGAATGTGCAGCTTTTTTTAGTTACTCGAGCCTCGAGCCACGAAAGGTTACTCACTGACATAAAAATGAGAAAAAATGTGTCGTTTTTCGATGGACTCGAGCCACAACCCTTTACTCATTAACATGGAAATAAGTAAAAATGCTCAAAATTGAAAACACATAAAACATGTAGAGAAACTTTGTAATAGCTCAAACTCATCGCAAACCGTTGCTGTTTTAAAATGCGTCTATTATAGAGAAGTTTTAGGTTTTCTCTCAAAGTTTTAAAATGTGTCTACTATGGAGATGTTTCACATTCTTACAAAGAATGGTTCATCCCCTCTTCAACCGATATGGAATCTCACAAAATCAATCTGAAACGAATTTTTAAAACGATGAAGAGTGCTCTTCACTAATTTCTTATAAAAAGCTTAGAAGTATATGATTATGAAATCAAATAATTTTGGGACATTACAATTTGTTAAGAATGAGAAATAGAATTAGAATCGAAGATATATATTCTCATCGATATTCATAAGCTTTAAATAAAATATAAGCTAGCAACTAATACATATCAAGAGGGAAAATATAAATTAATTAAATATTTAGAATAAAATAAAGTATATTATCTCGAAAAGAATATTAAGGTATTATTCCATAAATAATATATTATCACTTAATTTAGTAAATGCCATAATTACAAGGAGCTTATAGGGTTAAAAATTAAAATTAAAAAAAAAAACATTAAAAAGCTTATGAATAATTTGTTTGCGTGAAGTGAAAGTCTGGGTCATTACAACATTCATTCCTGCCTTAAATGATTGACTAACGTGGTTAACTTGTAAATTTATGGAAAAAAATGGAAACTATATTTAACCTAAATAATAAATTGTCTACAAAAATCAACTTCAAAAAAAGAAATTTATAAATGAATGGATTAAGTGTAATGTTTTATTTTGGGCACATTTTTTCTTTACTTGCTTAATTTGAATTTGAAGTACTTTTAAGAGGGAAAGAATACTCACAAGACCAACCCGAGTCATTTTATTATACTTTGTCACTATTCATATGGTTCTTCATAGACCCAATATAGAATTGTTCTGAATCAAATAAAGTTAATTTTGAAGTTTTTTACGATTGAGTTACCAAAAAAGAAGCTACGCATTGTTGAAATTTCTATCAAGGAAGTTGGGGACCTGATGACAGGGGAGCCGGCCCCGGTTAAATATCTAAGTTACTTCTAGGAAAACTTTTCATAATTACTCATTGAAAAAAATGATTAAATAGTAATGACCGAAATACTTACGTTGAAGATTGTTGAGAAGAGTAATCACACACTGAATAACTCAACTTATTATTAATTCGTGATTTTAAGTATTATATATAAATTGATTTTTTTTTTTCAAATTATAAAAAGTGACCAATTATAATATCACTAATAGTCATAAATATAAATAAATAAATAAATATATTTATTTATTTATAAATGAGCTTAATTTAATTTTAATGATAAATGATATATTGTTAAAAAAATTAGAAGGAAAAAAAATGAAGATTGGAATTGATTGGTATATATCCGTTCCCGCCCAAAGAGAAGCATTGGGGAGTCCGTTCCTGTAATTTTCACCATCCTATTTTCTGATCTCTTTTTTAGTTCCGTTCCAAATATTTATTATTATTATTCCAATATTCCATCTCATTCTCTCTCCTCCTTCTATTCGTTCGCCGCTCTACGTACTCTTTCTCTTTCTTCTTTCTATCGGTCTTTTCTTCCCTTCTCTCTCTCTCTTTCCCTCCAATCTTCAAAAACCTCCATAACTCCCTCCCTTTTCCTCCGTCTTTCCCGATGTCGAACGCCGTCGAAGATCTCATCCTTCGCCACCGCCATCGCCACTCTGATTTCCGATTTCATCTCCTTCAATCTCACTCTCAGCATCGCGATATGTCTTCGTCTTCTTCTTCTTCTTCTTCTTCTTCAGCTCCAGCTCTTCCGCCTCTTTGTTTACTTCAGTGTCATCGGCCTTTTCCGCCGTCGGATCAGTCCAACGCTTGCAACTTCCGTCATGCTCCCGGCGCACATTCTACAGTTGCTACGCTCGACGTGAGTTTCTTAGTGATCTTCTTCGTTTTGATGTTTGTTTGTTTTATGATTCCCGATGTGCGATCAATCTTCTTTGAGTGTTCATTTAGATTCGAAGATCGGTGTTTATATTCAATTATTGAGTTTGCGAGGGGTTTTAGATAAAGATTGATGGATTTGTGAATCTGGATCGTGAATTTCTACTTTGATTCGATTTCCTGATAATTAATGTGTAAATTGTTACTCAACCAGTAGAATTCTGCCGAATTTAATTGAGTTGTCAAGATTTGGGATGCATTTTAAGTTTTCTCTCTCTTGAACTTCTAGTAATAGATTTTTTCTATTTTAACAATTGTAATCTGCTTCCGCTTTTAGCGTAATGGAGTGCCTTTCTGTAAGATCCTATTCATGAATGTCGCAAAACATCAGCAAGCCTTTTTTTCCTTATTTTATGAATGTATTTAATCTCTTCAATATCAGAACCGATGATCTATATATCGATCTATTTTACTTATATATTTGTGTCTCCTTTCTTTAAATATTTATTGGTCAATATATTTATCTTTTTACAGTTGAAACGAACATATGGTATCAATGACTCTGAGGCCTTGGCTTGTGGACAAGTTGTAGCCTCTGAACAGATGATGCGATCTAATGATTCTTTATGTAAACCAGTATCCAGTGCAAATGAAAAGCAAAACAAAAAATTGAAGTTGCAGAAAAATTCAAAGTTGAGGACTCAAAAATCCGTAGACGGTAATTACAATATCCTTCTAGCTAAATGGTTATAGTTCATCGTATATGTATTTTATATTAATTCCGTGGATTTCCTTTTTGTTTTAGAGCCTATTGATGATCCTAATATTTCTACCAACGGTCGGTACGACAGTTCATTAGGTAAAGTTGTGGTGAACAAATATGTAATAAAATCTTCAGAAATACACTTGGATCCGGCGGTTGAGATTTGAAACATTGTCTATTTTATCGGCAGGATTCTTGACAAAAAAATTTATCAGGTTAGTTCAGGAGGCTGAAGATGGAACACTTGATTTAAATAAAACTGCAGACGTATTAAAGGTATAGAATCTAATTTTTCTGCCTGGAAGGTCTTAGAGAAGCTCTTCAAATTAGCTGAGATTATTGTCCTCTATAAGTTTGATACTTAACTCTATCAATCAATTATTTCTTTGTTATAAGAATTTTAGAAATAATGTTTGATACAGGTTCAAAAGAGGAGGATTTATGACATTACAAATGTTCTCGAGGGAATAGGGCTTATAGAGAAAACTACGACAAATCATATACGTTGGAAGTAATTATATTGTTATTATCCTTATTTCTCCTTTGGAAACTGCAAAGTGCACTGACTAATGATTTTAAATCTTGTGAACAGGGGATGCGAGAGGCGTGGGCCTCAAGAGCTCAA